CAATTACACTGCAGCTCAGGGTGGTAGCAAGTCTTTGAAGGAGCATCTGGTTCAACTAATGTTTTCTCTACTCATTAATAAAAGGAACAAGCTGCAGTAACTCACAGAACAGCACAATGTCTCAGCAACAAATAATGACCATTAACTCCATGTAGTGATGAAGCTGCCAGAAAATATCACATGCTTTGGATTTTTATAGATGATCTATTTCCCACAATCAGAATGCTTTCAGTGGGAAACATTAGATCTCTATGAAAATAGCAATACAAAATTGTCCAGCAAAATTCAGTGTATGACAGTTAAACTCTTTGTTTGTTTCTCTTTTTTTTCAAACTGGAAAAACCTTTTCATAATCAATCCCATATGAAAAGGTGTTGTACAGTGTTTATTCTAATTTATTATACACAAATACATGTCCCCTTAGTAAAGGAGCCAAACTGTCCACCACAAATTTCTATAAAATTGCTTGGGCCTGATAACCCTCAGCTGGTTGTTCTCAGCTGGAAGGTCTGTTCCTTTTAATAACCAATTCAATAAACTGCTGAAAAATGTTTTGTATAATATAGTATTGCCATAGATCTGATGTTTGTCTCTGTCATTACATATTGCATTCAATCAATTTACAAATGTTGCTGTGTTCCTTTTGTGCTAGTTCTTCTTATGGCATCCTGAACACAAATCCAAAAATCAATACCTTGTCTACCGAAAAAAAAAAATTGGACATAACAAATGAATAATTTTATTTATCATAAAAAGTTCTGGTCCCAAAATGGATTCTGCTAATGTTCAAATTAATTTTTCATATTTAGCATAGGATGAAAGCAAGTACCCTGCACAATGCAGTGAGAAAGGCAGTGACAAAAACCAGTTCAGATTTATTGAAGATGTGAGCAAAACCATGCAAAGCTCTGGTGCAGGGCTAGGAAACATCAATAAAATGGTAGATCATTCACAAAGTATTTGTTACCATATTAAAACATGAGAAGTCCATGTCAAAGAGCAGATGGAATTTTTTTAAAAGAGCAGCACAGTTCTGCTCTATGGAACTATGGAAGCAGCAAAGCTCTCAATGAGGTATGTCAAGAAGAAGCCAAGCAGAAGCTCAGTTCATGCTGGTTGCATGAGCTGATTCAGTTCAATTTGTGCCTTTTGTGTGACAGAAACAATGCATTTGCTGACCATAAACACATCCCTGTACTACTCCAGGTATTGAACAGCTTCCTCCTCCAAAACAACCACACAGTTGTTCAAGGGAGCCACAAATGACTTTTTCTTACAGTCACCCTCTGCAGAGCAGCAAGATAACAGAACTTAGGGGAAACAAGAACTCTACTGTTCATGAAAAAGGGTATGGGTGCCTGTAGATGCATACAAATCCCAGCAAGCTTACAAAATCAGCACCTCACCTCCTCCCCACTCCCAACTTACTGCCAAGGTAAGCACTGCATACAGTATTCGTGTTCCCACCGAGACTCTCGGCTCTGTAATCATTCACAGGCATTAGCAGAACAAAATCACACAATTTCTGTACAAAACAGAAAACCATCATGAAAGTACACCCCAAAACCCACTATCTCATTAATCAAGACTGTCCCCAATACCATGTGCCTGGCTGCTCTGAAATCAGACAAGTAGAGAGGGTAAGGATTTTTCCCTTTGAACTATGTGCAAGAGCAGAGCAGGTGTACACTCCTCAGTTTGTCATGGGAGTTGGTGATGATGTCCAGACAGACTGTGGTCAGACACCTCTGAGCTTTATCCATTTTCCTATTAGGTGACAGTAAAGGGACTGGAGATCCTGCACACCAACCACGTGTAGCTCTCCCTCCCCATTTGGCTGTGCCAAAAGAGGTGGATAAGTTGGCTACTGTAAAACACATGTGAATATTGTACTGTATTGTAGCTTACACACTAAAGAGTTCAGTTTAATGACAGATATCCCATACTCAACAGTAAAATTCCAGTTCCTTCCTATTCAAGAATCTGTAATAATCACTCAAAGGAATCCTAATACAAACAGGTTCTTGAGGTCATGAACTCATGTGCTCCTGTCAGGCAGAAGTCTTAGTGCTGGGGCAAAGAGGAACAGGAGAACTCTTTCCTTACCACGGATACTATGTTCTCACTCTGCCTACTTTTGGTTACTATTAGCACAGTTTGCCTTTCAAGTGTCAAGCTAAATTCACAAGATTGGCAGCTGGAAATAAAAAAAACAAAATCTGGTAATGTGTTAAGTGAACAAGCCTCTTTGGCATTGCTCAGATCACAAACACTGAACTCCACAAGACCATTCTGAATGAACTTTTTCCAGAGTATAGCTTTATTTTAAAACTATTACAGCAAATTCACAACTCCAATACTATGTTCTGTTTCAAGATGGAATTTCAACCTTCCTAGTTAATTAAAAGCACCACCTGGAGTGAGCTGGCTTTCAAAATGATTTCCTTTGTCTCACTAATTCACTCACATTAATATTTTATTTTCTACTGGAAAAAAAAAAAAAAGAAAAAAAGAAAAGGAATGTCACATGTGTGCCAAAGACAAGGCAGATAAAATTATTGCAATAAAACAAAGAAAATACACTTGTTACTGCCAGGTCTCAAGATGAATGCTGCATTATACAGACATTTTAAAGGCTTACAACTGCAAATTGCTCTATTTTACATACTGTATTCTAGCCTTTGCATCAAGATCTCTTCTAATTTTTCCTTATTGTAATGAGAAAGGAAAAGGGTTGGTTCTTTATTACCTGAGCATTTATTCAATGGAGAAACAAAGACTGCATTATATATTACAACACATGAGCTATTAAAACAATGTGACACTATAAAACAAGCTGCAATACTCATTATGGGATAACAAAGCTAAACCTTGAGCAAATAAATGTATCTGCCAAAAGTCAGCAATAACTATACAACTAGAGTTTATAATCTTTAATTATTTAAGAAGGAAAGAAGCTTGTAATAATTAAGTTTTATAGGCTCCTTAAGCTGTCATTCCTAGGTGCTCACAAAACTTTAAAACAAGTATCCTTCATCTGAAATACTCTTCTTTAACAACAGATACAATTGTTCACTTAACTAATTAATTTGTCAAGAATCATTAACTAATATTTTTAAAACTTCCACTCACAGTACAGATAACATTTGATTTACTCTCTGACCCAGACAATGCCAACACCAACATAATGCTGAGGCATGTACAGGCTCAGTGAATGATGTGATACTGTCTTTATAGAGCTTTGAAATTTTTTTTTGTTATGACAAACCTGTAAATCACCTTGATTTGCATCAGATATTTCAGAAACTTGAAGTTCAGAAACCTGTTAATTTAATTAATTAAAATATATTGGTGAGATAGTTACACCTTTAAGGTTTCTATGAAGTCTGCATCTTTGACATTCATTTATAAGCAAGTGAGATCTGACTTCTGGTACACACAAACACTATTCAAAGCAGGTAGAAAAGAAGTTCAATACTGAACAATTACAACCTACAGAAGTGATGGGAGAGAAGAAGGCTCCATATTTGAGAAGAAATACATTTGTGGGTTTAAAAATATATTAAAGTTCACTAAATTTCAAATTATACATTAAATTATGAAAGAAATGACATAGAATAATAGAATCAACCAGGTTGGAAAAGACCTACAACATCATCAAGCCCAACCCTACTGTGGTTACTAGACCATGGCACTAAGTGCCACATCCAGTCTCATCTTGAAAACCTCCAGAGATGGTGAATCCACCACCTCCCTGGGCAGCACATTCCAATGCCTGAGCACTCTCTCTGTAAAAAATCTCTTCCTAATATCCAACCTAAACCTCCCCTGGCAGAGCTTGAGTCTGTGCCCTCTTGTCCTGCTGCTGGTTGCCTGGGAGAAGAGACCAACCCCCACCTGACTCCAACCTCCTGTCAGGGAGTTGCAGAGGGTGATAAGGTCTCCCCTGAGCCTCCTCTTCTCCAGGCTGAACCCCCCCAGCTCCCTCAGCCTCTCCTCATGGCACTTGTGCTCCAGTCCCTTCACCAGCCTCGTTGCTCTTCTCTGGACCTGCTCCAGCACCTCAATGTCCTTCCTGAACTGAGGGGCCCAGAACTGAGCACAGGATTCAAGGTGTGGCCTCACCAGCACCGAGTACAGGGGAAGAATCACTACAGAAGAATAAGAAAACTTTAAATAAACTCCAGACAATTTTCTTCTTTTCCCAAAACACAGTGAGTCACTGCCCAAATGAGTTCCTACTACAATTTTACCATGAACACCTATGGGAAAAGTGATCGGTCTTGATTATTTCTGAAAAATTGCACCTCCAGACACTGAAATCAGCACAAGTTACAGAGCAGCAGAGTTTTGACTGGAAAATAACACACCACACTACAAAATACACTAATCAGGTGCATTTAGCATCTTTCATACTCAAGTTCCTATACCATTTTTAACTTCAGACCTTTTAACATGAGGCTTCATTTTTTCATCAGGAAATGTGTGCACTGTACAGATGGTTTATTTTATCCATTCCTACCTAAATTAATCAAAGCAATCTGTCCCCCCCCCCCCAGAAAAAGTCTTCATACAGGATTCTACTGCCATTTGACAAATTGTGTACATTCAGCCAGAAGAAGTTGAAAATCCTCCATAAAGAAGTTACCACATCTAAAAATAAGCGACATTATTAAAAGGGAAGTGGGATGTGTTAGTTAGCATAATATGAAATCTAAACAGTACCACCTCAGACACACTTTAAAATGCTTTTAGTAGCACCTGGTTGTTTATACATCTTCTGTGGTGAAAAGGTCAATAGAAATTCACCTCTAAGGTCACAGTTGCTAAGCAACTGTTTTCGGCAGTTCTGCAACACTGATCAAGCATCTTATGTTCCAGTGCCTGGTTTCAGAATAAACCCACGTCGCATCCTACCTGGCCTTCAAAGCACCCCGAGCCTCTCCTGCTTCTCCCAAGAGCACAGACTCCAATCAGCAAGGAGCTGCTCGAAAGGATACGGCCTGGGACCACCGGCTTGCGGTTCACGAGAGCAAAGGAGAGCTCAGTCTTCAGGAAGACCACAGAGGGCTTGATGAGGTGCTGCCCAAATCTCAGCATGATGAATAGGAATCTTCAGTGTCTGAAAGAGATAATAGTTCAGGTAATTAAGGGACTGACTCTGCCTTTCCAAACAACAGGAATGAGATAACCGAATTGTCTAGGCAGCTTCTAACAGAAAGTGCCTCTGGACTCACTGAGGCATTGGGTGTCTTGGAATCATTGTTAGGGCTTTCCTAAAATTATTACTTCTTTGTAGAGAAAAAGCTTCTCCCCAAAGCAAAAATTTTACATGTAATTTCTTAAACCCTTTTCTCATCACCTTGGAAGAGCTACAAAATTCTAGACAGAGAATACAATTTCTCCCTTCCAGTTTCACTTGTCCTGTATTGAATACATTTGGGTCATGTGTTCTTGGAAAAGCACAAATAAGATTTCACATGCTTTTTGCCACAATGCAAATCAATGCACACAGAACTCATGAAATAAACAACCTTTTCTAAATCAATCTCTCCACTAAATACCTCAACTGAAGAAATAACAGCAAATTAAGAAAAGCATATGCAGTCATTATCCATCCACACTTTATAACTTGAGCAACTGGAATGTGAACACAATCAATGCCACATTTTCTCTCACAAAAAGTTAAAGAATTTCACTTTCATTCACTAACATTTTCCCTCCTCCTGAGGAGAATGAAAATCTCTCTTAAATAGCTAAGGCACCATCCTAACAGTATGTATTTTAGGTCTTTGAGCCCTAGAGTATTTAAAGTATTTAATTCAATCAGAAATATCCAAGGTACTGCAGGGTAAAATATGAAGTAATGATGAATTTCATGTGACAATAGTTCAGACACATCGGAAGCATTACACTAACATTACCCTGCTTGAACCAAGTGCCTAATCAGAAAATTCAGTTTTGTACTTTGCTTCAGGTGTGGAAATCTACTGTTAGGGTCTTTTGTTGCAACTCTTTTTTCTTGCAAGCCTACTGTGTTCAGCAACAGCCAAACTTGCTTCTTAGTCTAAGAGATTTATTCTAATTTAAGGTCCCACTCCTTGTATCTGCTCCCATAAAAAAGACATATAATTACCCCCTCTAAGTGCACACACTTTGAAAATGTCTTTTTGAAGTAGTTGTTCTTCCAAAGGAACTTTTGGCTTTGTAGCTACCTGATTCCATAGAAGCACTTAACTGATTAAATTAAGGATAGTAGAAATATCTAATCAGGCTTTACACCAGATAAAGCATGTAGAAATCTCAGTGTAAGATACAGTAGCAACTCAGATGACTACATTTCCAAGTAATAAACATTCTCTAAGCAGGCACCATATCTAGTTTTATTTTTGAAAATTACAGATGAAAGGAAATGCTTGAGCCGACCATGGAAGAGTGGAGATTTTAGCTACACCTGTTTCAGAGATCTGAAAAAGTTCTACATTTTTTCCCCATAAAGTCAACAGAAGATTAAGTGTCTGAGATGTGTCCCTTAGCATATATTAAACCTGCAACTTGACAACATACAAAAATCAAGTCTCTTTAGCTACTAGAAGAACTGCTTAGCAGAGGAAACACCTGCTATGTTGTGCTGATGCTTGAAAAAAGCAACTCTTAGGAACTTCAATCAATCTTCCTCATTTCTCTTAAGCAGTCCATCAGCAGCCCCCTGTGGGGGTTTTCATTCTAATTAAAACACGCAAGAATGTTTTGACATGATACAATAGAGAGAAATGGTTTTCTGGGAGGAAGGAAATGTTTCTGATAAGGCAGCAAAACACATTACACAGCCAGGACTACCATCCAGTGATCAAAATGTGAGCTAGTGTCTCCAGTACCTGGAAAATCAAATGGACCTGCACTTGCATCTGGAAATGCTATAGACAGAAATAAAAGTTCTACCAATCATTTCTTATTCTGTCTTCCAGACTACCAATAAGTAAAAGCATTGTCCAGAGCTGTGGAATAGACTTAAACACAGAACCAAAGCATCAAAATAGCAGATGCTGAATTTAAAATCTGATGCTTTGAAATTTGGCTTAAGGAGGGAGAGAACCTGAGGTATTGGTAACCACAAGGAGAAGTCCTCTGGCTGTTTGCTGCCAGAAGCACAAACCAATAAACAATATTTTGTTTATTGTTTGATGACATTAGATTGCCCATATCATGTATTCATCACACACCTACCACATACATCTTTACTTATTTCAGTGCCCATCTTGTTAAAAAAAGTCTAGAAAAAACCCTCAGTGAAGTAAAAACACGAACACTATCCTCATACCTCTCTCAGTAAAAGTTTGAAGAATCACATTACAGCCCAACTGGGTTGATCCAGAATTAGAAGAACATATTAAAATCTCATCCATATAAATAATGCATGTATTAAAACCATTTCTATCTGCTTACTACACAAAAAAAATGTACCTGAATAATGTATTTCTGTCTCCTGAATCACACTAAATAAGTATGGCACACGTTTCAAACAGATGTGTCAGTTGTATTGGCTGTGCTATGCAATACAGCAAACTTCTCTTCTCAGTGCTATTCTCTCCACTTCTGACAAGGAATTATGGAAAAAATTTTCCTAAACAATTATTCACAATCCATTATATATGACTTAAATTGTTTTCTGCCCTAATGATCCTCTGTGCCCAGAACCAATACAGATGCTGAAAAATACATTAGGGATATAAGTAATGGCTACAACTGAAAAATCCAGGACTGTGCAGCAACTTGCTATAGCAGGGCTGGAATATTCCAGAGGGCAGAGAGGCAGGAAACTGCTACTGGCAAAGCAAGTTTTTAGTCATTTGACTTCTAC